TTTTTCACAAAAATCCTACTGGTTTTGAACCAGGAACCTTCTGAATACTAAGCTGATGTCTTACCCCTACACCACCAGCTCCAACGAAATTTATGTTCTTTAATCTTCCTCTTAACCTACATCTTCGGTTATAATTATAGAAAAATCATATTAATTCCATTTATGTTTTATAAAACTTTCGTTGGTTCCGAACCCCGGAAATTCAACTTACTACGCCGGTGTTTTACCAATAGGCCACCAATGCCGCGGAAATTCTTAACCTTTAAAGTTCCTCTTATGTTACATCTTCGGTTATAATTAAGGAAAAATCATATTAATTCCATTTGTGTTTTATAAAATTTTCTTTGGTTCCGAACCTCGGAACTTCAAGTCACTACACCGATGTTTTACCAATACGCCACCAATGCCATGGAAATTTGTAACTCTTAAACTTCCTCTTATGTTATATCTCGCTATATAATTCCAGAAAAATATCATTACAAAAATCCTTGTGTTTTCGAACCACGAACCTTCCATTTACAAAGCCGGTGCCTTACCACTACACTACCAGAACATCTATGCTACTGCTTTCTGCTATCCTCCTCATATTCTACGACTTGGTTCAGAGCTGCAGAAAAATCGTACGAGTATTTATTTATTCGCTTTTCAATTTATATTGACAAAAGACACCGTGGTCTCGGACCCCGTACCTTCCGAATACTACGCCAATGTCTCACCCATGTACCACCAGATCTATACAAATTTGTTACCTTCACCTTCTTTATATATTACGATTAGCTTCCTACATGCACAAATTTCTTAATTTTTTTTCTCCCAAAAATAGTCATGTTTTCGAACCACGTATCTTCTAAACCATACGCCAGTGCCTTACCAAAGGACCGCCACGGTTATGACAACTATTCGCCTTCGTCTTCTAATATCCTACCGCTTCGTTTCTACAAAATTCCTCTTTACTTTTTCTTTGTTTCAAAGTAATTTTACGTCTGACGGTTGGCCAGTCGGTGTCTGTTAATTTAGAGCCCATTCAGACGCTCTTGACCAGATATTGTTCTTGAAGTAGCTCAGTGTTTGGCCTCTAATACGAATCCTTTCTGATGACAAGACGGGTCTATCCCTTCTTACTTGTCACAGTCAATTACTTTCTATAGTTCGTCCTTCCTCCTCTAAACTACATACCATGACCTTTACAACTATAATATATACTGCACATGGCTTTATAGGCAATATGTTTAAGCCCCATGTCAGTCCACAAGAGATTCTGCCTTATTTTCATGAGCTCACGCTAGACCAGCGATTTAGTCACCTCAACGAACATACACAATGTAAGATTCACCGCTTCTTACACACATGGGTCTTGTTTATGTGTAGGTAAGAATGAAGAGGCATTACTTTATAATTGACTTGCAAACTTCAGGTTTGAGAAGCAGAATCAGTATCAGGATTGAATGTGGGTAGAACTATTTATGTAATTAAGATCTAAAAGTATGTGATGTTGGTAAATTGTTAGAATTAATATGTTGCTGGACATTATCCATCATCTTGTCTGTTCTAAAAAAAAACGTCTAGTTTCTATTAAAAAACACAACGTTTCGGGAACTGGAATCTGTCCCCGTCTTCAGGTAATACCTACTCAGTTGGGTCCAATAGACAGAGCTAGCACCTATCTCCGTTGTGTTTTTAATAGAAACTAGACGGTTTTTTTAGAACAGACAAGATGATGGATAATGTCCAGCAACATATTAATTCTATTTATGTAATTCCTTTACCTATTTCATTTTCGTTACACGGTTATTCACTTTTGTTGTTATAGGTGTATTCCTTCTCTTACTTTTGCCATATAATCCTACCTGTGCTGAACTGGTTAACATTTTCTATAGTAATTACATTTCTTTAAGATATATTATTAATTTTTGCTATATAATCCTTTCCATTACTGAACTGAAATATGAATAGATAACAAATTTTCATTATTCATTACATTTCTTCAAGATATGTTATTATTTCTGTCATATTATTCTCCCAGTACTGAACTCTTGAAGATGAATATATCAGATTTTCTTATATCATTAAATGCAGTCTTAATTTTGTTGACAAGAGTGTATTTCACATCTCGAACTCCATCATTCTAATGAAAATAAAAATAAATGTGAAAATGAGTATTGTTGCTTACAATACATGATTTATAATACTTAAATGTAACCGAAAACTGTGTTCTGTATGGCTTGCATGTGTAAGTTGTGAGGAAATTATAGGGTTTAATATATGTATCTCTGATGGAAACAGAATTTTCTTTCAAGTTTCCCCACCTTCAGCTATCCCAAATACAAGTATTCCATGCATGTTACAGTTCACAATGTTCAGTGCCTTTGGTTAAAGAGGTGTTTCATGCGAAAGAAAGGTTATGACTTTCCAGGCACTGGTGAGAAACTTTCTCCAGATAAATAATTTGCAACCTAATCTCTTATACTCCAGAGCTGCAAAGGCTCTTATTCCGTTATTTCTTTTTGGAAAGGGTGGGGGACCAAGTTTAATAGCACTTCACTCAAATGCAACCCAAAGGATATGGGTGAAGTGATATTGAACTTACTCATGGAGCTGAGCCCTTCTTGAGAACCCGCCAATTCTGCAGCCACTCAAAAATTTTCCAGCCTTTTATGGAACCCGAAAGTTCATTACTGTGTTCACAAGAACCCTGCACTGGTCCCTATCCTGAGCCAGATCAATCCAATCCATAACATACCATCCTGTCTCTCTAGGATATATTTTAATATTGTCAATCCACCTACACCTTGGTCTTCCCAGTAGTCTGTTTCCTTCTGGCTTTCTCCCACCCATATCCTATATGCATTCCTCGCCTCCCCCATTCGTGCTACATACCCTGCCAACTTCATCCTCCTTGACTAGTGATACTGAACACAGTTCAAAAATAGGAATAGGTTGAAGGGGGGAAGGAACCTCTGCAATACAAGAGATCTGGATGTAAAAGTATTTATTGCTATTCTAGCGAAGAAAGCATTGGGTGGTGGGGGTGGAGGGGGGAGTACTCAAAATAGTCGCTATGTTAGCATACCTTTTTACCGATTGTGCTCTCGGCCTTGTCGGCCATTTTAAATTTAGTTAATGTAGGGTGCGTAGATATGGCAGCAGCATTGCACCATGTAGCCCACCAATAACATGGGAGTTTCACGGGGTTGTTCCCGACCAGAGCCATAGTTAGAGAGGGGAACCACTCACCCCTTGAGTTGCCGGCAGTTGGCAGCACTGCCGGAGAGATGGGCGCCTCTGCTGCCGCCTGCAGGTTTCTTCTGCGTTGCATCTGTTTCTCCTGCTCTTCGAGAAGCAGGAACTTCTCCTTGGCGTCCTTGAACCGGTCCCGGGGTGACAGTGCTCCTGCAGAACCTTTCTTACCCGCATGATGGTTGGAAGAGGATGAAGGTGAGGGCGACCTCTGCCGCTCTTCTGCAGCACGGCGTCTTCTGAAAGCCTGCAGATCCGGAGGCGTACCTGCGGTGATAGACTTCGCTTAAACACTAGAAAATTGTAAAAGTTATCCCTGTAACAGGCCGTGAAGGCCCATAAGGTTTTGAGACATCCAGGCTCTCATATTTTCTCTAGACTGTCGCTCACAGATGGCGGTAAGGTTGTCAGCCTTACACACCGGCCGCCTTTTACCCCATTTTTACTCATTTTTGTTAGAGGCTGAGTCGACCCCAGAGTCATATTGCGGCTGGAAGGATTAGGTCAATTAAAAAAAAAACACTTCATCGGGGCTCGAACCCGCGGTATTCCGGCTTGTAGCATAGGTACTGACGATTTTAATAATCATTATTAATTAATTTCCTCGTCATTAAGACTTATTGGGAAATGGAAGTTGCATCATTAACTTCTGCCGTAGATGAATATGAATGGTCAGCTTTAGGCCCCAGCCGCTTCACCTCTGGAGAAAGAGCTTTCGGTATGCATTGAGAAGGACATGGGCGTGACCTGGGCTTGGTAGAAAATAAAACGTCTCTACCCAAGCTGGAAATCTCTTTCGATCTTCCAGTTTCAAAACAAGAGATAAATAAATGAACGAATAGAGAGAAGGAAAAGAAATTAAGAGAGAGAAACCCGAAAGAAATAGGGACGTGTAAGTATGTCTGTGTTAGGAGAGATGGGCAGTGTGTATAGAAAATAAATTAGGAGACAGTGACCTTCATGTTCGGTTGGAAGTACTGTGTAAAAAAAAAAAAGTAAAGCTATCCCTGTACCAGGCCGTGACGGCCCATATGGTTGTGAGACGTTGAGGGTCCCACATTATCTAGACAATCGGCTCAAAGATGGCGGTAATGTTGTCAGCCTTACGCGCCGGCCGCCCTTTATCCCCAGGAAAATTATTTAATTAATTCCTGGTACTCATTTCTGTTAGAGGCTGAGTAGTGCGGCTTGAGTAAAGTCATAAATAATTTAAATCGGGATTCTGCGACCACCATTCGTACTCGGTACCCCCCACTTCAAGTCACAATCTTTGTGACAAAACACTTCACATAGTTGTACTACCCAGCCTCAAGCAAAAAGTGACTTTTCATTTCACGTATAGCCTTGCACTGCAACCTATCGCGCAGAGTTATACCGTGGGACAGCTTAGTGGCGTGACTAACCTGCGATATTGGCGACGGGCGAGGAAGGTGATTCTATGCCGCTGCTGTGCACACGCCTCGCCCGCGGTAGAGAGAGGTCTGTTCCTGGCCCTCTCCAGCTGCTGCTGCTACAGCTGCGACCCCCAGCTGTGGGTTGTACCAGAAACAGCGAGCCTTCAGACGGCTGTTCGTTCCATTCCTCATCTGCAATACCAAATAGGCCTATTGAATTGCCGTGTAGAAGTTAGAAATTTCGTAGTGTAGGCAGCAATGTATGGTGAAGAGTCGTCATTGTGAAGAATAACAAACCAGTGAGGAAGTGAAATCCCCCCTGGTTAGTAGCCATAACTAAGCTACGCCTAGCGAAGATAAAACATATTGAGACATGGCGTGTGCTATAGTGATTTGTAAATCGTTAAATCGGCGAAAGCTGCTGGAGTTACTTGTAATTATGAATTATAAGAGTTCAATAAATCCAGTTATCAATGCAAACCCCCTGTTAACGCTCAACAGTAAAATAAAGTAAAGGTATCCCTGTAACAGGCCGTGGAGGCCCATAGAGTTGTGAGATGCTGAGGTTCCCACATTTTCTACACAATCGGCTGTTAGATTGCGGTAAGGTTGTCAGTCTTACGCGCCGGCCGCCCTTTACCCCCAAGAATATTCCTGGTACTCATTTCTGTTAGAGGCTGAGTTAGGCATATTTTGTTAATCTGTTACGGAATAATTATTTACGCTAGATTTGAGGTTTTCAGAACCGCCTGTGTAGTCTCGTGGTCAGAGTTCCTACCTACAGATCCAAAGGTCCCAGGTTAAATTCTCGGCGCCAGCAGATTTTCTGAGAAGCAGTGAGTCTGGAACGGGGTCCACTCAGCCTCGAGAGGATAACTGAAGGGATATTTCAAGGAAATAGCGGCTCCGGTCTAGAAAACCGAAATTGATGGGCGTGGGGATTCGTTGCGTTGACCACGCGGCACCCTCTATCAGCAAGAAGTTTGCACTAACTTCGCCTACAAGCGGCAGTCGCTCGCTCGGTATAGTTCGCTTACGGACTACAGATCACGGAGTTTGTTTTGTTTATTTTATTTCTTTTTAAAGTTCTTAGTGTAGTAACTATGACAAAACACTATCATCTGAATATAACACCGTGTTGTCTGCTGACAATCTTTATTCAAAGCAACTCATCTTTCTACGAGTGTATTCGAAGGTTTTCGTATTTGCAGACGTTGCCAAAAGTAAAGCCACGGGGAAGCGGGCATGCTCGTACTATGCAATATCTGAGTTTCCCATAGCAAAGACTACGAAAATTACTGTCTTCCGGGATGTTATATCGTATGGCCTGCTAAATCGATACCCAAAGTCACTTGTTCTAATGATTCGAATGTTTTGGCATCTGTGGACGTTACGTAAAGTTTTTTCACCTCTCGCTCCCACTTTGGAGCACAGAGCAGATTTCTCAGTTTCATTGTTCATTTTTACAGACGGTAGGACTCCTTGGGCGAGTGATCAGCTCGTCACAAGGCCTCTACCTAAACACAGGACAACAGAAACACAAAATAAACGCATACACCAAACATCCATGCCTTGTATGGGATTCAAATCCACGACCCCGGTTTCCGAGCGAGCGAAGACAGTAACGTCTGCATAAAACAGATTTCTCCACAACGTTTGAAGTTCTCACGTCAGTGGCCGTAGATATTACCATCTGCTGGTATGTGATGCCGTGAAGACTGGCACATATCAGTCTGCTTGGCATCTCACACTTATCTACATGTGGCTTTGCAGCAAGAATATTGTTGATTAGATACGAGTAATTACGGTCTTAATATTGGATTTAGATTCTGCCACTAGATAGAGCGTGTGTTACTTCCGGTGTATTATGAGAGATTTACGTAAACAATGACGACCTTATTACGTGTTGCAGCAATGAGGAACAGCAGCGAAACACTTTGGGTATGTGTGTATGAATTCTCAGGCACATTACGCAGCTGATGATTCTTTTGTTTTATTTCAAGTTCTGGTTTGCTAGATTCTTACAAATGAATGTTGTGCCTGAGAAGTGTATCACAAGAATTACTGTAAATGTTACATGCATAATGAGCGCTTAAAATCGTTTCTTCTATAATGTCTGTAAAACTAAGATGCCTCATTATTTTACTGTCGTAGTACAGTCAATTACAACACAAAATCTTGAAATTAGTTTAAACTCATCTTTGTCCTGACGCGTGTCGATATTTTCAATGCCATCCTTGGAAATACATACTTAAGTAGATAAGGCTACCTCTCTAACAGGACGTAGAGATATATATCGTTGTGATACGTCGAGGTTCCCACATTTTCTAGACAATCGGCTCACAAATGGCATGTAGCCTAGTGCTGGAAGTATATATTAATACAAAATAAAATCGATCAAGATTATTTTACATGCTTGTACATAATTTAAAAAAAGGGCAGACTTTTCTTCGTAAGTTTAACATATGGAATTATATCATGTGTTACAAACAGCGCATATTCTGTAGGATTTGTGGTCCTCACATCGCTGGTTATGAAGACTTATGTTTGAAAGCTGTATTAAGAACTATGTGTCTGACGGCTCTGAAACACATATCTTTGAATTACATGCAGGAATTTTAATATAAGTTGTTTGTAATATATGATTAAGACTTTCAAGGAAAAATTAAATTCATTTGTTTAAATTTTGTATAGCGTAGTTGGTTGAGGGGCTATGCTACAAGCCGGAAGGTCGCGGGTTCAAGTCCGGATGAGGTCATTGGATTTTTTTTTCAATTGACCTAATCCATCCAGCCGCACTATGGCGGCTTCTAACAGAAATGAGTACCAGGAATTAATTAAATAATTTTCCTGGGGAATAAAGCGCGGCCGGCGCGCAGGGCCGACAACTTTACCGCCATCTTTGAGCCGATTGTCTAGATAATGTGGGAGCCTCAACATCTCACAACCCTATGGGCCTTCACGGCCCGGTACAGGGATAGCTTTACTTTTTTACTTTATAATCATGAAAATAAACTTGATCTAGTTTCTGTTGCATTACTAATTATGTTCCCGTGAGGGTGACATTTTGAACAGCAAATTTTATGGGATAATGATGAATTAAACAAATTTCAAGAACCTGTGTTTTGTTTTACTGTGTTATGATAATAAGCAACGCTATGGGTTAAACCGGCGCACAGTTCACATAAAAACATCAGCATACGAGTGAGATGCAACACTTCACCAATGTCGACATAGACGGCAAGCAAAGACTTTTGACTTCAGATGTGGTTAACAAGTCGAAACTTCTTCAGTCGCTTCCAGGGGTCAGCTAACGTGAGGCTGTTAACCTACTTCAGTACCTAACGACACAGTCGAGAGCACTTAGAACTCCTGCTATTTATTAGCGGCCTGAGGTCGATGCTTTTCAGGCAAATATTAATTTGCTTCCATAAATTATAAACTGCCCTAAAGTGTCCATTGGTAACATGATCAGTAAATAATCAATTGAAAAAAATTTTTGTGGAGTAGCTGTGACGTAA